ATTTTAGACGTACTTAATTATGCAAATTCTATCTTAGATTATAGTCTCAGTAAATTTTAGCTACTTTAAGCTAACCTTTACAAATTCATCTAGCATTAACCACTGCCAAAAATTCAATTATTTTTGGTGCAGAAACTATCCTCACCTTTAGCAGTAACTATTACCTTCCAATTGCCACCCAATTACTTATGTTAATGATTACTGTACCACTGAAACCAAAATATATTTTGAAATTTAATAAAACTGTTAAATTGAGAAGGTTAAAAAACCTTTAATAATTCCCCTTTTTTCACCTATTTTGAATTATTTCCTCCCATTGGAATAAAGAGATGAGTAATTGCTCTCTGATGAAAGACAAGGATCTCCCAAATGGTTATTTTCCAAATAAAAAATGGTTTTCCAAATATTAGTTTTTTTTTCAGAGCCAAACTCTGTAGAATTATGCCCTCTCTTAGACTAAGTGAGAAGAAAAGTGACAGCATAGGATTCAAGTCCTCTGAACAAGGTTCAACTTCCCCTTAATGTGATGCTGTCATGTTTAACAGGTAGGCAATACACATTATCATAGAATCACAGAATGGCCTGGGTTGGAAGGGACTGTAAAGAATGTGTAGTTTCAACCCCCTGAAATGTGAAGGAGCACATTCCACTAAATCAGGTTTCTTAAAGCTCCATCCAAGCCTGGTCTTGAACACTCCCAGGGATGGGGCAGCTACAGTTTCTCTGGGTACGCTGTTCCAGTGCCCCTCCACCCTCACACTCACCATCTGATTAACTCCTAGAGGGTGTTTTAATTCTGGCTTAAGTCAGTCTGACTGTGAACACCATCATGAATTTCTTCATAAAGATTATCATATGGGGACAGGATGTGCATATCTTGCTATGGTAAGCACCTTACTCTGCATGGTGCTTAGACCATCAATGATGGTTTATTTCAGAAGAGGATACTTTTCCTTTGAGTCTAAATATTAAACTGTGGCTTGATTTGCTTAGCTAGCTCTCATTTAAAAAAAATCTTGAATATTTCTTACTGTTTTCTGCTATTTGTTTTAATTCTTTTCAACATGATATACATTCAAATACTCAATGCTCTCCCAAAATACTAAAAAACATTTGCATTTAATGCATATTAAAAAGCATGTGCATTTAATGCATATTCTCTTAAAAAGGAGAATTGGTTAAAAGGTCTGTAGAATGTTTTAGCAGCCATCTGTCATTCTCTAATTTTTATCTATCTAACCAAATTCGACTTTTAAATAAAGCAGCATGTATGTTTTTATATGATCAGATTCACTGATAGCTAAAATGTTTATACTCTAGGAAGTAAACATTCCTACTTTAATCCCTTTCGAATAAATACTCTAAATTCTTGATCATAGGAATATTTAATTACTTCAAAAATATTTCAATGATTTTTCAGATTTATCCTTCTATTAATTGCTCCTATGTTGTATCTTCCTTTCTTATAGCCCAGCTGGGCAGCAATTGAAGTTGTGCAAATAATAATTTTACAAAGATCTTCAAGGAATACATTCTGCCTTTTATCTTAAAGATAAGAAAGAATTTATTTGGACAAAAATGGGATTTTTAATGAAAGACTTCTGGGAAAAATAAAGAAGGAAAAGGTAATGATTTTACAATGTCATTAAGTTTATGAAACTGGCTTCAGGGTTTTCCCTGTGAAAACAAGATCAAACTCTTCTTAGAGTCATCATGCTTCCTTAGCACTGTTTGCTTTGTCCTATGCCTCTTATGAAAAAATATCATCACTTGAAAAGAAATATTAATATGCTGATAAGAAAACTGTACATGATATGACTTTGGAAAGCAGAAGTTTTCTAAATGGCAATTATCAGTGCTAAAGCAATGTATGATGTACTGACACTGATCTGTTTCCTCAGAATGTTGTTCCAGTCTGAAAAAAGAGATAGTACAAATACTCTCATTGTAACAGCTGTTCAGATTAGAGTCTATGAAAATAGACTCTAAGCAGAATTTTGACTGTAATTCTGTTTTCACACTGCATAAGCCGTTTTGACTTTCACCATATTCCCAAGCTTTCTGAGTGAAGCTGATTTCATGCTTAACAATGCAGAACAGCTTCATAATCCAACTATCTAAATAAATTCCTACAAGTTTCAAACACTTTAAAGTGAACCCCTGACCTAAGCTACTGATGTCACTATTCCTTGGTGTAAAAAACTGAACTAGGATGAAGATCAGCAATCCGTTCTACTGGAATCTGCTCCCACAAACCTTTCATGACTTTGGAAACCTCCTTTTTTAAAAAAGTTTAAATTTTTTTTCTTAAATTTTCTCCTGAAAATGACATATTACAAGGAGAATTTAGGGTCTTCTGTAGGTTGAAACCTCTTTACATAATTCTTGAAAGACAGATAGCTTACAAATCTGGTCCTACTTTTTAGAAGAAACAGTTGGAAACATGCTGCTCTTCATTGACATTATCCATGACTGGAGCAGAACTGCAAAAGCTGACTGTATTATTTTTGTCTGCTGATAAACTGTATAAAGAAGCCTATATTTATTAGGTAAAACATCATTTACTGTTTGATACCAATGTTGCTCTTAATGGTTTGATAATTGATTATATAGTTTCTATATTTCTTTTATACATATTTAACATATTTATCACTGCTCATTATTGAAAAAGTTTGACAAGTTTTTTGCACTGTATTGATTTATTATTGCTCAGGATATAAATCACAAGTGCTGCATTGCTCTTTTATTCTAGGATTGAATAAGGCTTTGAAGTGGTTAAGAACAAAAATCTCGGAGATCATAATTAGCAGCTTTCTTGGATTACCAAAGAAAGGTCTAGATATTTCAATTTTGAAAATTGATAAGTAACAATGACACCTGAATTTTATTCATGATTTTAAGGAGAGGAGCTACTGCAGTGAGAATATTTACCACCATTTCTGTACACATTGTTGCCTTGCCTATAAGCAACTCTCTCCACAACTTTCTGAATTCCCTATGAGTATGAAGCCTGTACATTCCCAGAACTATGCTTTGCATAGACTCCTTCCGTGCTATCTGTTGGCCAACGTCTTTCTAAGTCCCATTTCTCCTAGAAATATTAACAAAGCAATCCCTTCCCTTAACTAAAGCTCTTATTTCCTTTAATGTTGTTTTGTTCTTGTTTATTTGTAAAAAGTAATTAAAACAAAATGGGTATTTTTGTCATCCATGGGGCCACTGAAGTCCAAAAAGAGTAAAGAAGGTAATTTTTTTTTTTTTTTAATTATGATCCCTATTATTTTGAAAGTATTATTTTCCTGGCAAGCAGTTTTTGAAGAATTTGCATTTAAGGAGACTTCTGAAAGCAGTGTAATTAGGGGTGACAGTATAAAATTCAATATCTAGATCAGTTTGATTTAAAAAACAATGTCCAGACAACTCCTCCAAGAGGTATTTCATACAGATGAACTGAGGGGCATGTACAATCTTTAAAGCCAGAGTGACCATGCTGAAATTTGCTCACATTTTATGTCTTTTTTGTATATCTGTGATTCATGAGGGAATGAATAATATGTGCTTATTATCTTCATAGGGGGAATTTCACAGAAACTCAAGTAAAGATTTGTTTCACATCTCTTGTGTGAATTATTTCTGTTGAAGACAGAAGTATTTAAAATGTTCTCAGTAAGTTATTAAATTCTTTCAACAGATCATTTGAATCACAATTTCCATGAGTTAAAAGGTATTTTTCTTATAACCTTTTGAGAGATGCTATATTATATTGTCATCTCTGGAGCAATTCCAAGTTTATCTATAGGACTCCAAAATTGCAACTAGTGCTATTTATAAGAGGACTAGAGTTTTAAGACATAATTCTAGCATACTGGAAATTGTGGAAGATAATAACTCTAGCAAACTCTTGTGGCATAAGGTGAATATGCCACACACCTATTTATCACACTCCTTCTGATAAATATTTAGAGATATTTCCTTAAGACAAGTCATTCAGATCTTTATGATCAACTGAATTATAAAAAGGGAACTTGAAAACATTTAAAGGCTGAAGTGTGATTCATTGTATAATTATACATTTTTAAGGGGAATAACAGGCTCCTTTATATATTTTCAGTTCTTTTTCTTTTGTTTGAAAACAGTGAAGCTTGCAAAACATTATATGAATAAAAATGGTAATCTTCAAACAGGAGCTGTCACGGAAGTTACACAGCCTCAACAGCATTGAAAAGTTGCTCATCAATGCTCTGCTGGATCCCAATTTAGTAAACTACTTAAACATACCAGGTTAGGCTACAGTTAAGTGAGCAGGAATTTATGCTTCGCTGCCCGAGGAACTTGTAAGAAATGCGTTAATAACTTGTTACATTTTTCTCCAATCTCAAATAAAGGTTGAAAAATAGCAACAAAGCTAAGAAAAATGTTGTCATAACTTAGACACATTGTTGCCATTATTGCTTTAAAAATATGATTTAAAGAGAAAGGTCAGCTTGTTTTTGCTGCCAAGATTCTCACTTCTGTATGTCTAGATCTATTGATTTCACTGAGTAAACCAATGTATTTTACTGCTACCACAGATAGTAAAAGATATAAATGTCTGAGTTTTGAACTTGAATTTTTTTAGGATGTCTACTTAAATCTATTAGTTTCTGGAATACTAAGAAATAAAAAGAGACTCCAGCCATGTTCACTTGTTGAATTTTCTCAGAAACTGATTTGCAATTATCAATAGACATTTACACAAGGAAAAAGGGTAATTTTTGCAGAGACCTTTCTTGCATAATTCTGCAATAAAGAAGTGCTTCAAATATTTGAAGAATTATTGCTTAACTGAGAAATTGAAAATATACTGCTGCTTTTTACTAAGTGGCAAGTAAAGTATTCAAATATGACCATAATAGTAATAAATAATCATGTGTTTAGTGCTTTATATTCTCAAATCTCTATACAAATATTCATTACAATGTTTCCAAAGCAGTGGACAAGGAATAATCACTCAGACTTACCCACATTTAATCTGCCTGTGACTTCCCCATTTGAATTGCGAGCATTCACAGTCACATTGTGAGTAGACTGGAGAAGCAGTGACGAGTCCTGAAGTATAGAGAAAGCAAAGAAGTATGTTGGACAGTGCAATTAGAATTGTGAACCATTTTCAAAATTTAGTCTAGTGCTGGTATCAACACAGTCACTGAAAGGTCTTTGCAGCAACAAAACTATCCACAGGTCTCATAAAATAATGTGGGCTGGTATTTCTGATTACTACAATTACAAGTTTAAAGTAAGAAAAATAAATAAAGGTGAACTTAAAAAATAAAATTCATCAGGTGAACAAAATTTGTGTTACTGGACCAATGAAAATGGCTGCTAACATTTTATCTTTTGGAAAACATGCTTTAGTACTAGATTTACTACCTTTCAGTACATAACTGAGACTCCTAGAAGACAGCCATTTAATTGAGTGTGAGCGCTCCACTTTGAGAATTCATATTGGTGAGAAACATGCATGTGCATTTTGCTTCCTTAATGGTCCACGCAGTCTGTGGCCTAATTTTGGCACCTGGCACTAACTCTCCAGGCAAGGAAGCTGCAACAGTGAGTGATGGAGAGAGTGGCAGGCTGACTAGATCAATACTGACTTTAAGAGATGACAGTAAGGTGATTTTCAGGGTAATCATAGTGGCCTCTGTCTTCACTTGACATTAAGTATCAGAAAATTTTCTGGGGACACAAAATCTTATCATGCTCATTTGGATCAGCAAACTGTAAATACACTGGTAGATTTCAAAAAAAGGGGAGGAAGTTTTCTGCAGTACAGGTGCTTTCATACTAAAGCATACTTTGTGTCTGAAGGACAAGAACTCAGAAAGTGATAAGAAGTGCCTATGCAGATCTCAGTTGCCAAAGTATCACTGAATACATGATATGAAGAGGGCATCAGCAAGCTACCTTCTTTGTGACCTCAGTGGAGATATCCATTCCTAAATAAATAATTCCTAACTACCAGAATATTATTTAAAAGATCAGCCTCCTTCACAGCTATGGCTTCTAGTTATTTTCTGCACTCACCAGAGACTATGTAGTACCTTGAAGGGATAACCCGAGGCATAGCCTCATATCAATTTAATGCTTAGAGTATGAGACAACCTGAGAGTTTTAAACATTTTTTATGTGATGAATTTTACTAAAAACACTTATTTAGTAACAGAACCACAAACCTGATTAAAAAGTAATAAATTAGAAGCAACACACAATTTGGACTCAAACTTACACATTTTTTTTAAAAAACCCAAATGGCATCTTACAAGTAGGTAAGAAAGACTCTCTCAAAAGAAGTCATTAAGTAAGCAAAAGAAATGAATCTCACTTTGTAAATTATATTGGGAAAGCATGAAAGCTCACAGAATTAACACAAATAATGAAAAGTCTATGGAAAAAAGTAAACCATGTGCTAGAATGAACATTAATGGTAGTAAGTTAGCATGAAGTGGAAAAGGAAGGCCAACAAAGATTGGGAATTGGGTAAATATAGTATATTTAAGTAAATCTCCTAAATCACCCAAAAGGCTGGGCATCTTTATTACATTTATTTCATTGCCACTGGCTGATTAAAAAAAATAATTTAGTAATTTGTGATATCAAATGAAAATGTGAATAAACTATACTCTAAACCTGCTGCCACACATATGGTTTTGACTAATTAAAATCTAGTAACATATTTAAAAATGCTCATCTTTTATCTTTCCATGCAGATGTTTTAGCAAAGGTGCAATGGTCTTGCCCATAGCTCTGTGCTGGACTCATAATAAAGGCATAAACTTGTAATAGGCTCCAGAGACAATGCACAGCAAGTAGATTTTCTGCTACATATTTTCTTAGCACTTTAGAGACCTCATTAGGTGAGAAAATCTGTTAGGAGACTGCAAGGAGAAAACTATTAAGGCAAGGGAGAAAGCTGCTTTGAAAGCTGTGAGGGGCCCGGTTCTTCAAGACACATTTAGGAAAATAACACTTAACAAATAAGTAATGTTATGAGAATAAACGCATAAATGGCAACTTGGGAGACCAAGCTGCAGGCAATGAAGCATTTAGAGAGTTCAAATATTTAGAAAAGCAAGGATAAAAACAAAAAACCTCAGATGAATTGTCAGTAGGCAGAGAGAAGCAGTAGCCTGAAGGTTCTAATTAATGCACGCTACTAATGATCATGACGGATCATTGGACAGCCAAGCTTATATTAGATGCTGCCACACCTCTTTTTCCTATATTGTACTAAATGTATTAAGAGCTGAAACGTATTAAGAGAGCACAAATGGTAGCTTAACACTGCATAATGATCTCTGGGACTAGAGGGAGTTCTTAAACATTAGCTCTGGTGGTCTTAAAAAGTTATATTTCATAGTGGATAAACAACCTCAAGGGAAATTCACTGAAGCACATAGTTTTCTCACTGCCTGTGAGGCAGAAAAGAATACAGCAAAAGAAGTTAAATAGAAATATAGATATAGAAATGGAATTTCACTGTCTTAATTAAGAGCTGTTCCTGAAACTGGAAATACTTGTTGCAGAAAGAGAGAAAAAGAAAAGCTCAGTATAGGAAAAAGCTCAAAATAAGAAAAAAGATCAATATAAGAAATGATCAAAATATGATGGCATTGCTTAAATTTTAGTAATCAAGCATGTTAACAACCTCATTCTGAGAAATTTATTTACATTTTCTCTCGGTATAGCAATATGTATACACACTAACTTTTTTCCTAGGTTCAGAAAGGTCTCATGGCTGGCTATTACTTCTCAATTACATGTTTGAATATATGAAAGAGCCATACTTGGCTTTCATTGTCACTGAATAGTACTTTATTCAATGAAATGTCCCACTGGTTGATGACAATATTTACAAAATATAAAACTTTATTTTGTGTGATGTTGGACTATGAACAATAGTTCCGAAAAATATTTACTTTATTGGTCAGAAGCAGACATCTCTACAAAAAATTCACTGGAATAAGCTTCAGAGTCCCCCTGGATAATTAAAATCCAAATCAGATTCTCTCTTCCTTTTTCTAAACCCACAACTTCCATACCTTTCCCATTCTCAGTGACATTTTAAAGTTAATGATTTTGATAAATATTTGACCAAGTACGGTATTCCTTTTTTACTTCACTAGTAATAACAACAATAAACTTTTCTGTCTAGGTGAACTAAATTAAATACTAGGTCTTTCCATTTAGACTTGTAAATTTTATATACATAAATATATAAACATGCCAGATATTTCATGGCATTGTCCTTGAAGTGATAAATCCTATATATTTTATAGAAATCATAACTTTTCCATTGGGATCCACTGATTTTAGAGATATTGAAACTATTCTGTAGTGGATTAATAAATAGAACACGCAGCTTCCTAGGGAAGCCTGTATTAAAAAATAATCTCAGTAAAAACAATGAAAACCTTTTTATACACTCCTGTTTTTTTATTATTTGTTTCTTATGATAATTATTATTCTTGTTTTTTGTGCTTCTTATCTGTTTTTTATGTGATTGTTGTTTCTTCTGACGCATCATCATGCTGCTGTTGTTGTGTGTTGTGCAGTATTTTTTTTTTCTGCTGTTCTTGATGATTCTCCTCTTTTTTGTGTTTTTTTTTTTTCTTGCCTGACATCATTGCTGGTTCGTTTATTTATTCGTACGTTCATTTTTTTTATGTTTTTTTTTTGCTTGCTTACTTACCACTCTTGAATGGATTTCTTTGGCATAAAGAGGGAATAAGAATTCAGATTCCCCTTCCAGTCGAAGGCCTTCTTTTGTAACACGCAGGTGTCCCATCCCAGTCTGAGGAGAAGATGTGAGAATTATGCACAATTTACTATTATTGCTGTATTTATTTTGTGTTCTTTTCATGAATTAAACATTTTCAGAACTGCCTGCCTCAAGTCTACTGAAAAATATACAAATAGTAATGCATTTAATATTTTGAGAATACCTTATTTTTTTCCCAGGAGTAATTTTCTGTGAGAAATTGCAGGTTTCATGAAGTTATTAAACTTGTTTCGTTTTGTTTTGTTTTTTTGGCAGGGGGAGGGTGTGGTTTTATAGTCATTAAATTAAAAAGAAGTGCATTTGTATTGGCTGTGCTGAAACAGCTTTTGCACTTGCCCTCTAAAAGTGCAATGAACGATAAACTTTTACATATGAGTACTCACATAAAAAACCTTACATTAACATCTCAGGGTTCATTCTATCAATAATGTAAACCTACAAAACAGAAAAAGAGGGACTTTTATTTGCTTTCATTTTCAGCAATAACTGTTTAATTAAGTTTTAATTCATTGGCTTAGTTTTTTTTTCCTTCAATTGTAGGTCAAGGCTCTATATCTCATTATCATATGCCTTTTTCTTTATCACCTGCTTCTCAGTCTTCCTAGGTCTGTCCTGCTTTCAGCCCAATTATTCTTTCCAGCTGATAGTATCTCCTTTCTTTGTTTTTACTTCCTTTCTTCATTATCATAGAATTGATAATGTGAAAAATGAGTGAGGAATCACTTTGGTATGTACATCTGAGCATCTGAGGGTTTGCAGGCTTCAGCTGCAAGGTATTTCACAGGTGTTTAGCTAACTTGTAAAGGATTCACCCCTTTCCCAGACATAGAGAGCTACAGAAAACTTGCAAAAAACCTCCAAAAAATAAACCACAAACAAAAAAAGAACCAAACCAAGAAACAGGCTTCCAGCAAGGCCACATGAAAATATTTCAAGACAACTGCTGCAAACTACAAGGAACAGATGGAAGTGCTAAATAAAAAAACAGTAAGCCCAAAAAAGTATTTTCACTCCAAACAGTTTTCAGGTAGTTCTCCACATAAGCAGAAGAGATACAGAAGAGATACATAACAGGCCACCGATTACGCATCAATAAATTGTTCATCTAATGAATTATGCTTGCCACTGAGAAAAGTTATAATTGAAGAGATGGTAATTGCTTTCAAGTATATGTTCTGACTAATCAGATTATGTATGTATATATGTAATGCTAAGTAACATATCGAACCAGTCTTCAATGAAAAATCGTAGTTATTTTTTTAGCAGGCCTGAAAAGAGATAAAGAGAGAAACAAGTTTTGCTTAAATTCCATAAGGAAAGAATTGTTCATTCATTCCACTGGAGAGTACAATCATGATTCTTCAGCAAGACTTGCTTCAGGAAAGAGGCTTTTAGAACAGCTATTTATGGAATCTGTTTTTCAGGGTCAAACATTTTATTGTTTTGAAATATATAATGTACTGACATTTTTCAGTGAAAACAGATACTGTTTCCAAATTCTAGACTACTGCAAAGCTTTTAAAAAGTGCCCAGTATACCAGTATATAGTGATACATCCCATAAGGCAAAACTAAAATAATACCTATGATGAGGTTTTATAATGACAATTCTTAGCCAGCACTGACTGATTTAGAAATATGTTTTTCTAGCAAAGACTATGGACAGTTTTTTTCTAAGTTGCAACATGCCAGCATTGTAAAGACACTTAGGTTTTAAGGAAAACACTTGAAAAAGCTGATGTGAAACAGCAGGATATTCTAAAGAGATAACACCAACAAGTATCTCCTCTCTTATTAACCAAATTTAGGATCTGATTATTTTCTCTGAGCTCATACCTTTTCCCATCAGGTGAAAGTAGTTTATGTTAGCTATCAAGTTTAAAAAACTTTTATATTTTTATGGAATATAAAGAACTAAACAAGTAGTATATTACAGAATAAGTACAAAAAAATGACATTGACAAATCTGAAATTGAAGAAGGCAGAGGAAGAAGCAGCAATTAATTCTTGCTCTGAAGCAGACTGGGAAAAATTAACAAACTCCTAGGTGGCAATCTCTGTCCTGCTTTCGGAAGGAAGAAATTTTAAGTAGAGATAGAATAAAAAAATTATGTGGAAAAAAATGATGCAATTTACTCATCACACTCTTTCTAATGGATTCAGGTTTTCCAGCAATGATTATTGTGAAAATGCTAGACAGATAAAGCCATGTCTTTGACAAAAGACATGACAAAACTCAGCTCTTTCAACTTATCTAAAAGTTCCTATTTTTTCAGTAAATCCGGTCATATCCCTCAGGATTACTTTGTATAAGTATGTCCTCCAGTATGGTGTATTTTCTTCATCAGATATTTAATTTAGGCATTGACACAAAGCTTGCATTCTCACATACTTGCCTAACAGCCTCATTATCCATTCTCATTAACCACTTGGGAAGTGCAAACCCAGGGAAATTTAGATTTGGTTTATGTGCATAAACGACTGTCTGTGAGGACTAACATAAACTTCGTTATATTCATGCAAACAATAAAAATATGGATATTGCATACTGATCCTCACTTCTATTACCTTTGTGACTGCAAAAAAATATTATGTTCTTAGTACTACCATATTTGAGCATTTTAAGATTGCAAAAGTATTGAGTTATGCAATACAGCAAGATAGGGGAATTCTATTATGTCCCTTTTATAACTGGCAAATTGAAGTTATATGGAATATAAAATAGAGGGATTTAGAGTAAACAACCACCCCAATGCACTGAGATCCAATGCTAAGTTCCATGAAAAGGCAGAGCATAATAGTTACACATAATATTCTTTCAACAACTACTCTGCTTCTTACATTACCAATTGCCTTTTACTGAGTATTGTGGCTTCCTCAGTGATGAACAAACTTGATGCTTTCTGTTTCAAGGATTTGATTCTGTTCCTATTCAAATAACTGAATAAAAGTATTTCTACTAACTCGAGGAAAGGGACCCAATATCAGTTAGATGTGGACTTTGATGGAGTCATACAACAAGCTGTTGTGTAGGGTGGGAGGCAAAAAGTGCTTCATTAAAGACAGGAAATGTATGGCACATCTGGATTCTGGTTATCCTGATGCTGGTGACTGTCACTGCTTGAGTTTGCTGGCCCTGGGCTGTAACACAGTGTTGTACATACAGATATAGCTGAGACACACATTTTGTAATTACTCCAAGCCCTCAGCGAGGCAGGGCCACAGCTGTACAGCAGGGAAGGATGAAATGGCATCTCTGTAGACAGCAATCAGGTTTTATTGCTGCAAGGAGCTGACTAGCGTGGAGACTGCTGGCAGCTGCCAAACTCTTGTGCACCAAAGATGCAACTTAACATTAGTGTTCACACAGGTGTGACCAGTTTTCATTTCAGAACTGCTTGACTTATTCTAACTGCAGTGACAGGATGTCTTCAACTACAGTAGAAACATTTCTTCATAATTTGAAAATGCTCCCAAGTAGGTAAGTGCTTGAAGAAAAAGAGACGAAGACTTCTACCACAAAAATTCAATCTCTAAATCCCCACAAAAGCTCATCAAGACTAGCTTGAGAAGTCCAGGTCTAAAAGACATTTGACATCTAGCTCTTCAGTGAATTATAGGGATACTACAAACCAGTTGAAATGAGTAGCCACCACTGCAGAATTCTAGGTAAAATGCACTGTGTTGTGGAACATCTGGATGGGAGGGCCATCTTGGATGTGTTACCATTCTCTTAGACTCTAAACACAGACCTCAGACTACTAGGAGTGGAAAACAAACAGATGCAGCTCTAGGGTTCTTGCACTCACAGTGAGTTGCTCTCAGGTAGCTGGGCCTCATGCTGCCCATGGCATATGGAAGCAAAAGAGTATCAGGTGATTTCTGGGATTTATCTCCCAGGAGTATGACAATGTAGGTCTGCTGATGTCAGCATGTGGCCCTTAGAAATGAATATGGGGCACGGGGAACATTCATTCAGTTTAAAAATGGGTATTTCTACTCATCTAAATTTGATCAATAACTATAGTTTTTATTTTCCTACCAACACTGAAACTCATACACACTGGCTCACTGTATTTTGTCAACCACTCTCCATATTGTATGTTATACCATATCACATCATATCATCACTGTTTCTGTACCTTCTCGGCATTAGACTCAAATGCAGTCATCAGACTCCTCTGAATAAGAGAAATTGAACTTCTGCTCTGTGTTTCAGCTAATAGCTGCAAGGGAAGATGTGTATTTTCTGCTTTTGGAGAGAGATCAAATACTGGAAAGACAAGCTGACCCATATGTTAGCATAGTTACACCAAAAAAATCCTCAAAGTTGATTCCAACATTAGTTTGAACACACATTCAATTCAAATCAAGTAGTTTCTGTCTTAGGAGTTAAAAACATGTTTGATTGCAGTATCTGCTCCCTGAATATTAAACTTTTCCATATATTAAAAGTCCACACATGCTGTAGTGGCTGAATGAAACCAGTAATGGTATTAACTTCAGAGAAGAAAGGATGCAGCATTTCCACTCAGTTAAATCCTATTCTTTCTTGTAGGATCCTTACATCCTCCTTCCAGGCCAGATCAGGGAAAGACCTTGGCAAGTTCAGACCAAGACATCACTTGTTGTGCCCCAAAGCTAGTTAAATTAATGGCTTTATAGATCCAGCTTGCACTGCAGTACTTCTTGCAGCAATTACTATTTAGAGAACTTGCTTTGCAAACAAGAGTGTACTGTTTCATTGAGATAATAGGACTGTGGGTAGAGATTGTTAAAGAGCAATCAGCAAAACAGGATTGGTAATGAATCTGATGAAACTCTCTGTTTGACTTACAATATCAATTTTGGAGCTAAGTACGTGCTTGGTATAATAACATTACTGATGCCTCATCTCATTTTCAGTCGCAAGGACTCTATTTGCTGGGCTCAGACAGAGGTTATCTAACTCATCTGCTTGGATGACAGTGGAGTAATTTCAGTCAAAGATATTGGTCAAATCAGAGCCCTTGG